ACCTGTAATAACGTTAAGTAACCGTGAGAGGCTCGTCACGACGCTGCCTGCCTTAAACACCTGTAATAACGTCAAGTAACCGTGAGAGGCTCGTCACGACGCTGCCTGCCTTAAACACCTGTAATAACGTTAAGTAACCGTGAGAGGCTCGTCATGACCAGTGTGTTAGCCAGAGACCCGTCTACCAGTCGTTTGGACGACCTATTCTTCGATGAGACGGATGAAATTTGATAGAGACGGCATAAGGGCGGCCTAATTTTATATATTATACACAGGTCTTGTATAACTGACAATGTCAGTGTTTATAAGAATATAAAATCATATCAGATTCCTGTTTTTTTGGCATTTCAGACTACATTTCCTCCATTTTAAGGTAAGGCCCTCCCCCCTAGGGCACTTCGCACCCACCGCATCCTACTCGCATCGCTCAGATGGTGAGACTCCCTGATTTTTTCCCCTGGCTAACCAGTGTTGTAGGTCTCGAGACCGGTCTTGGTCTCGAGACCGTTTTCCTTGGTCTCGGTCTCGGTCTCGGCCTCGGAGTGCAATGACTCGGACTCGGACTCGGACTCGACCCCTCCGGACTCGAGGACGTCGGGTCGAGACCGGTCCGAAGGGCCATACATTACATCGTATTCAGTTAGATGCGTATGTCGCGCCTTAAATGCGCGGGGGCTGAGCTTAACGCGGCACATCGTTATTTAATCTACTAACGGGCAAAATAAGTACACAGGCGGCGGGCGGTTTAATCAATGTCGTCTACTGCGGCTGGGCAGCACGTAATTATTAAGGCAGAAGAGTGTAAAATTAGTCATGAACCTTAATGGCGAGTACTAGTAGTATCGACTATACGATCCTCACCACGGTCGAAGGTGTAGGTAACTGGTAGTAGGACTAGTACTAGCACTCTCTCATTGGTTCACACAACCGTGTCATCTCGTAAAACACAAATGGGATCCACGTTATCTTTGACATTTCGGCTGTGCGTTTCGTATGACTCGTTCTCTGTGTTATCGGCTGCTATAGCCACTTTCGAATGCTAGCGATGCACGCATTGCGCTTTTTCCCGAGATCATCTCATAAAGCCAAGTCGGTGAGATGGCCAACATCTAACATTCTACATACAATAGAAAGTCTTAGCGGAACAATGCATAATGCACCATTATTTATTATTTATAGTTTCCAACAACGTGTATTATTCCTAAGTCGACCACAGAAATGCTGCGTCCAAAAGTGGACTATAGCAAGTTTATGTACGTCTAATTTATGCAAACAATGACAGATCCAGGGACAGGAAACACCCCCCCCCCCCATTTTTGAACAAACGACATACATAGAAGTGAATGGCCTTGTCGTCTGTGCGCCGCCCTTTTTTTTTTATCAAAACGACTCGACTGCGACTCGGACTCGATGTCGGGTGTCGTGGACTCGACTCGGGTGGCGCGGACTCGACTCAGGACATTCGGGACTCCGACGTCGACTCGGACGGGGTGCGGACCGACTCGTCTCGACTGCGGGGTGCGGAGCCGATTAACAACACTGTGGCTAACACCCTATTCATGATGCTGCTTGCATTAAACAACTGCAATAACATCAAGTAACCGTGAGAGGCTATAGTATCACGACGCTGCCTGCCTTAAACACCTACAGGTGATAACATCAGGTAACCGTGAGAGTTTAGTAACAGCATTGCCCTGCCTTTTAAAAATGGGTGCGATAACATCAAGTAACCATGTAAGGCTGGTCACGACGCTGCTTTTCCTGTGTCACATGCGATAATATCAAGTAACTGTGAAATTCTAGTAACTACGCTGCTTGCCTAAAACATTCGCGATAACATCAAGGAAACGTGAAAGGTTAGTAACGATTGCAAAGTTTCACATTTCGACATGGAAAAGCGCACACTTTGCACGCCTACCTGTGTTACGAGAAGTGAGACAGAGCCCTATAAGAGATGCATTAAATTCGATCTCTCCTCCTATCCGCCCACCTACCTACCCACCTTTAAGCCTTCGATCCATTCATGGGCCATCGAGAAGGTGGAGAGTTGTGCGGCCGAGCCGACCATGACTCTCGGGATGGCGCCGCTCACGCCCCGCCACAGCCCGCGCACGCCGTACTCACGGTAGATTCCCTGCATCGCTTGCAGCATGCCCGTGTGTCTGTGCTGGAAGCCCACGGCTATCTTCTCGTGGGCACGCGCCTGAAGGTGCGTCTTCACCTGGCAAGGCAGACATATAGATGTGCGATTTAGCGGTAGATCTTCCGTGCGCACGGGGGATCAGGGTGTCACTGATGAATGGCCACAGGAGCGAAAAAATTGGGTGAACATTATATGCATATGTATAAAACCCGATTCACATCAATTTACGAAAACGAAATTGACAGCGAGTTAACTCATCAAGGCTGCGTATATCAACTTACAGCGTAGAAACATCAGAAACAAGATAACACCTAATGACCATTCAATTTGCCATTTTCGTAAATTTTTGTTTTGACAAGTGATTAGGATACACTGATTCGACATTTTACAGTTAAAAATACAGCTTTTATTATTATTACTATTTATCTAGCATCAATATAATTCATTGTAATTTTATTATGTAATTTCTCTTATTATATCGTTGTTTGATAATTGCGAAGTTGTAACAATTAGGCCTACCATGTACACTGGGCTTCCCACGATCGCTCCCACTGTGCCGGACATCGCACCAGCAACAACATTCTTCCACAGCGATTGGCTTCCGCGCGAATCTGCGGTGAAGCCTAGGTTCTTGATCGACTGGAACGCACCGAGTCGGACACCGTTCATGAAGAACTGGTACCAGAGTGCGGGTACTAATCCCTTCTGCAGGGCCAGTAATCCGTCCACGCGACCGATTGTGTAGAACGCGTGGAAGACGTTGCGGTACGTGCGCACATAATGGCCTCGAGCCTTGAGCTCGCCTTGCAGTTGAAACCTGGTCTTGACGACCTCGAGGGGATTTGTGATGCAACCTGCAGCACACGCCCCCAAGCCTCCGAAGAGAAACTCCCTATATCCATATGTGGCTTGCTGGCCTGCCGGCGAACCTGACTTAGCCATATCTACGAAATAGTTGAACGACTGATATCGACTGACAGCCTTAGGCTTAGGCTAGGCAGCATCCTTAGGCATCCTTAGCATTAGCCTTAGCTAACAGCATCCTGAGTATGTAGGACTAGGAGTAGGAGTACAATGTACGTAAACCGACCAGGCTCTCCGACTGTTACCCGTCGTAGGACTCTCGTCGTACACGTCTACACGTCGTAGACCTCTCGCCAACGTAGTGTTAAGCGAGAAGGGAACTTGTGGCTACAATGTACGTACAACGTCAACTAACGCGCTTCGCTAGTTAATTCGCCACATCATAATGACAATGTTGTGAAAATGTCCATCTGTGCGCTGCCATTACTGTGTGACTCCTGAGACGGGTGCTCAATGGTCGTGACACGCGTACGCGTCAGCCAATCGGCGCTCCTGGTAGGACCATAGGACAAAACTCCAGCCCAAACTCCACGACAGATGGCGCTCTCGCTCTGGCTCAATTTCTTCAAAATTTCAGTGGTGACAAATCCGCCAAACCTGCCAAATGTCCCACCCCTAAAATTGAGCTAGATTAGTTGAACCCCGTCTGAAACCCGTTGAAAAATGTTCGGCATAGTCCCAGGTACCCGGCCCAGGTATCATGACTGGCCGCTGTCAGAATTTTTCACTGGTGGGGTGTGCCCACCAGACGCCCCCAAATATATGCCCCCCCCCCATTATTTAGCTAGATTAGCTGGAAAGGAAACCACTGATCCATCGACCAGCTTTGCTTATGAACTTTCTTTTTATGTTGTTGATTTGCAGATAGCTGGAATCTTCCAACAAATCTCCAATGTACAAAACATTCGATTTGATGAAACAACATGTTTCCCTTATATATAGCACTTCTTTTCAACCATTTCATTTCTCATATATAGTGTCTTCAAAATCATGCGGACAAGAGAAATCACCTGAACAGTTTCTCTCATGAAGCCATACGGCAAATAAATCACAATAAAAAATCCGGTATTTTATTTCTATAAAAGTAAACATCATTTAGCATACATTTACAATTCCAAATCACATCAATTCCTCCCAATTTAGCCATCCAGTAATTAAACATAACTTTCTATTCCTCATTTACATTACTCAAATAGATACAAATCTATTTTGATATTTAACTATCAAATTTAGTTAAAATGTTAACCATATTCAAACCAGCATGTTTAATGTCATTTATCATTATTTGATTTCTTAACTTTGACACTTGCAGACCCCCAAAGAAAGTGAACAAATTAAAGTGCTCAGACATGTCAATATTTGAGCTGTATATAGACAAAACTTTGGAACGTAATAGCCTATAAAAATGGTTGTTTCCTACAAGAATTCCCTGTCTTCCACATCCAAATCAGAGTCTTCATCACTACATGCTTCACCATCTGAATCGCTCAGTACTTCCAACTCAGAATATACATGGTCTGTCATCTTTAACCTTTAAGTCCTCTGGATTATAATTGACATTTAAAAAAACGTAATAAAACTTTCCTGTTTTTCGGCATACAGCTTAATTATATCCGGTTGGTATTGCTAACACGCACGTGCCATCACAAGACATAGTTATTCGCGGATTCTCCATACATGCAAGCGTGAGTTCACTATTTATAGATTATAAATACATACAAGCAAGAGCGTATAAAGAAGGTCCTTCTTTATACGCTCTTGATACAAGTAACCCCCCTAATTATTAGCATATTATCATATATATCTATTATCTATTATCTACTAATATTATATACTATAATATTATAATATATATATATATATATATTGTAGTGCCAGTTGAGCATTTCTCCCGCTTGCTCTCTCTACCCCCTTCTCTCTCTCTCTCTCTCTCTCTCTCTCTCTCTCTCTCTCTCTCTCTCTCTCTCTCTCTCTCTCTCTCTGAATATCTCTCCCGGCCGCCCCCATGCACTCTCTCCCTCTCTCTCACGCGCGCACGCTGGTCCCTTTCCTTTTCTCTCTCTCTCGTGCGCGCCGGTCGTCGGTCATCGTTGACTGCCAAGAAAATTTTCTTCGGCCGTTCTCAAGTGTTCAAACTAGTCGAGGGCGGACCGACGGCACGTGTGAATGGGAAAATCTTATCTACGTGCTTCACTTTGCTCGCAGTATCGCGCCACGATTCCCATGCAGCTATGTTAATGTAGAGGGAAATGGCGCTGCGACGTCGGTCGCCGTTGAATGCCAAGAAAATTATCTTCGGCCGTTCTTATACGTTCAAACTGGAGCCGGGCAGGCTGACAGCACGTGTGGTTAGTAAAATCCGATCGAAAATATTTACTTTGCTCGCAGCATCACGTCTTTGGTTTCCCGCTATGCTAATATTAATGTATATGAAGGTGGCGCTCGTGGCTACGCCGTGCCACGGCATAGCACGAATAAATATATATGGGAAGTAAGAAGTACTCCTGAGTATGACCTATCTTATATATACATATATACAGAAAATAATAAAATGACAACAACTGGAGACATAATTATGCACTAACGTTATCACTTTATTAGCTCTTCATGTAGCTCTTTATTAGCTCTTCATGCAGGTGCATTCATGCAGTTGTTGTCATTTCCATATTTTCTGTATATATATATATATAAGGTAGGTGATACTCAGGAGTACTTTCCTATAAAAAATGAGGTTTCTAATGGCCATGATTACACTGACTACCTGCCTCTCGACGACCATTCCAGAAATGTCCCTAATGAACATGTGACCGTTATATGGAGTTGACCGCTAACGTAGGGTTGCCTGTGTACAGAAACACCGGCCCTTTATTTGTAGGTGATAACGACCCGTACATGCGGCAATAAGGAGATAACTACGAATTCATGCAAATGCGAGTTGTATTGGATAAACATTAATTTCTGACGTGTACTATATATATATATATATATATATATATATATATATATATATATATCAAGAGCTCATAATAGAGACTCTCTATATTATGAGCTCTTGATATATATATGCAATAATGCCACAACATTCACATAAACACCCCGGTTACACCGTGTATAATGCGAAATTATTAAGCTAATGAGTTTAGTGCTGTAAGATTGCACGAGGCGCGTCGAAAATTGCCTCTTGCGGACTCTCTGGACTGGCGCCAAAAACCTAGCATTTCGCATCGCCATGCAAGGGTGTATATATGGTAGGAGGAGAGTGCGGAAATTAACGACGATTTTTGCCACCGCGTGGCAGCACTGTCTGTCCGTTCTCCGCGTGATCGCTGCAGTGCTGCAGAAGCAAACACGCGCAGCCTAGCAACGGATGCGGGCAGTGAGCGGGGCTCCGACTAATCAGCTACTCTCTAACGTTATCTGCCTCCCAGGTGCCCGGTGTGCGCGCAGCACACACATACACACATAGACAGAGGCGCACACACACACACCCACAGCACACACACACGAAGCGCGCTCGGTGCTGGTGGCCGACATTCAGGCGAACAATCGCTGCTCGGTCGCTCTACGTGTGTGTGCATGTGCGTGGTAAGCGCGTCTGCGAGCGTGCGTGCGAGAGTGCGTGCGTGCGTGCCTTCATGTGCTGTGTGTTTGTCTCCGGGCAGCAGACAAGTGGACTATCATCATCGTCGTCGTCTCCAGCGTCATCATCATCAGCGCGCTTTTGAAACAGGCGGAGCAAGCAAGGCGACTTCTGACGCGCACCTCGTCCCTCTCAAATTCGGCAGGTAAAGGGGAGATTTAAGGCCGACCGTGCGAGGCAGCAGCAAAGAGGAGAGACGCGTTCAACAGAAGCCTTCGTTGCGGATGAAGTAATCGACCTTGGCTCCAGAGAACAAACGGTAACTGCGTTCTCCGTGTGTGTGAAGGCCTAACGCGACACGGTCAATTACACGCGCGCGCATGCACGCAAACGCACACACACACACACACACACACACACACACACACACACACACACACACACACACACACACACACGACACCACACAAGCGACATCACCCACAAGCAGACACACACGCGTCAGTGCATCGGCACGACGGCCACGCGCACGCACGCAGCACACACAACACAACCACACACCACCATACATGAACCCACACACGGCAGGCACGCACTACGACACACACACACACACACGAAGACAGTAGTACGAGGTCGTCATCACACACCACAGGTGTTGCGAGAGGAGTAGCGCGGCGCGCGGGCAGCGGACGCGGTCGAGGTGTACGTTGTACGAATGTACGTTTGTTACATCGTCAATCTTGAAAATAAGCACGCGTGAGAGAAGGAAAGGAGAAGGAGAAGGGGAAAAGGGAAAAAGAGCGAGCGAGAGAGAAAGAGAAGAGAGGAGAGAGGAGGAGAGAGCAGCGAGACTGATATATATAAGAGCAGACGATGGACGGATCGGCGAACGGGCGGACGGTACGGGACGGACGGACGCGGTCGGGTACGGTATGACGTCCGCGAAAATGGACGGAGGAGGGAGTAGGGGACGTGAGGTCTGGATGGACCGGACGGACGCACGGACGGACGGGGCGGCGGGCGGACGGTACGGACGAACAGACAGAGAACAGAAGTCAACAGACAGACCGACAGTGACACACAGAACAGACAGCTCATCAGGAAGCGAGCGAGGAGTAAACATGAGAGACAGGACGAAGAGACCAATAATGATTTCTACAGACTGCGGATTGGTCCGCGATAGCGACGGCTATAGCGTATGGTATTGCGAGGCGGATGGGGATTGGATTTGTTATCGGATCAAACAAAGGTTAAAGGTTGGCGGATAACCTGCAGGAATTCGACCGGTCATTTTCAATCAGGCAGGGCGACAATATATATTCGGACGGAGAGCCGAGACGCGAGCGCGCGCGTGGGCTCGTGAAGGATGATAGTGATTAAGGGCTAATTGAGGTGTTGCTGCTGGAAGTTTTTCACGAAAGTGATCTGCGGTTCGTGTTGGTTTGTTATATAGGGGTGACCCGTCCCGATTTCGCGTTTATGTGAGGGGGGTGCACTGTGGGACAACGTGAAGCGGTTGGTTGCGACATATGCTGGAAGCGCGTTGAGGAGCGATGTGGGTGTGTTGTTGTCCGGAGGAACACCGTATCGGGTGTTGTGTCAGGCTTCACAAGGGTCGTGGCGGCTTTGCCGGCAAGTTATGCTGTTGTTTAGTGGAGACAAATTCACTGCGCATATATTTGAGGATCGGCAAGAATTTATGAAGTCGAGTGCAGACAACGATTAATTAACGAGTGACTTGCGAATTGAGTCGCAGGGAGAGAGATGGGGGGGAGAGGGAAGAGAGAGAAAGAAGAGAGAGGGAAGAGAGGAGGGAGAGAGAAAGAGAGAAAGACGAGAAGAAGAAAGAAAGAGAGAGCATAGAGCAGAGAGAGAGATCGAGAGAGAGAGAGAGAGTGAGAGAGCGCTAGCGAGAGAGAGAGCGGCGAGAGAGAGAGAGCGGAGGGAGAGAAGAGAGAGAGGAGAGAGAGAAAGAGAGCGAAGGAGAGAGAGCGCGCGAGAGAGGAGCGGCGCGAGAGAGAGAGAGACGAGAGCGAGAAGAGAGCGCGGAGAGAGAGAGAGCGCGAGAGAGGAGAAAGAATAGAGAGAGAGTAGGCATGCGCGAGAGGCGCGTGCCGCCCAGAGCGCCGCGCGGGTGTGTGTGTGTGTGTGTGTGTTGCGTGTGGCATGTGTGTGTGTGCAGCGCCGTGTTTGTGGTGTGTTTGTGGTGGAGGAGACATGTCTGTGCCGGAGGGACAGTGCGATAACTATGTGTATGTGGTTTACCTACAGGTTGGTAGTCGTGGCGGTGCGGGAGGGACATGCCGGTAACTATATGTATGTGGTTTACCTACAGGTTGGTAGTCGTGGCGGTGCGGGAGGGACATGCCGGTAAGCGTACGTGGCTGGAAGCAGCATGAAGCTTGACCGCACAGACATGGAGCAGCAGCCACGAAAATACATGGTGTTCACGAAGGTAAGTGATAGCAAGAGCGCAAGCACGCGAGGCGCTAGGGTTGGTATGAGCGCAGTCGTAGTGTTAGGGAAGGCAAGAAAGGGTAAGGAGACGAGGGTAGGTTAGGCTGGAGATGGTGGTGCAAGGGGCGGGGACAGGGTGTGCGAGGAGTGGAGGTAGGCGTGGTTAGGGCAAGAGGAGGTGTGGTGGGATAGGGTGGAGGTGGAGGTGGGTTTGTAGGGTGGTATAGGTAGTAAGAGGACGGAGATATGCGTGGGATAAGGTGAGGTGTGAGTGAGGGGTCAAGGTGTTTGTCTGTGGGTAGGGATTAAGGTGTCCGTTTACGGGTGGGTAGTGGTACCGTGTGACCGAGCGTGCTCCACATGTGCGCTGCTCCACCACTGTCGATCGTCACGCACTCTGGCGGCATCCGATACTTCCGTGATCGTCGCCTACACGCGCCGCCGCTCGTTCGATCTCGCCATTAAAGTGATTACGTCATCGTAAATACTAAAAAATAAAAAAAACATTTCCACTTTTTCACAAAATATAAGTAATTCTGTTCACTTTTTATGGTTAAATTGCTGCATTATACTTAATTTCTTATTTTACTATAATTATTGTTCGATGTGAACATACACTCGTGACGCATACATAGCCCATAGCAAGCAATTAATGTTAGGAACACTAATATCAAATCGTCCAGGTTTTTTGGATTTTTAACTAGCTGAGAATCAATCTTACGTTATCAGGTAAGAATTTGACGATACGTTTAGTCCCGTTAGTTCTTACTTTTAATGTAAAAAAAATGGCAACACAAATTTTACACATTTTACCATAGAAAATTCGTGACGTAATCACTTCAAGCGTGTGCTGCGTGAGAGAGATGCACCGCTGAGTTTACACTCCGACTCTATTCGCCTGAAGAAAGGAGAGAGGGGGAAAAAACTTTGTGCGCTCGACATGTTGCCGGCTAATGCGAGAGCGGCGCGTTTGTATATACAGACAGACATGCTGAGTGCGCTAGAGCCGCTGTCGTTTGCGCGCGGGGAGTTTTTCACCGGATCCGTGAGTCAGGGGCAATTAGCGGACGCGTACGTGTATTGTGGCGGTATGTACGTGTAACGTGCGTAGTAGCAGTAGCAGCAGCAGCAGTAGTAGTAGTAGTAGTAGTAGTAGTAGTCGTAGAGTAGATCAGTAGTAGTAGTAGTTGTAGTAGTAGTAGTGATAGTAGTAGTAGTAGCAGGCAGCAGCAAGCAGTATACGTAGTAGTAGTAGATAGTAGTAGTAGTAGTAGTAGTAGTAGTAGTAGTAGTCCAGTAGTACAGTAGTAGTAGTGTAGTAGTAGTCAAGATAATAATACGGATTCTAATATTATTATCGCTATATTATAGTCATACCACACTATATATATTATCTATATATATTACACGTCGTACTATCAACGTATATAATACCACTAAAATATATACACACATACTATAAATTATCCTATATTATATAATCTCCTATATTATATAATATCCTATATTTATCTTACTCCGCCGCCCCCCCCCCAACCAGGTGGCATTCTTGCTCACAGACAAGACCATCTCCTCAGCAGGCAGCCCACTGTTTGTACGTGAGTGCAACCGTAAACCACCATCATAGTCAAACGCTATAAACCATCGTGTGACGTTTAAAGGCGATATCTCCATAAAAAGAAGAGGTATGGAAACAAAGTAAAGTTTGAGTGTGCGGTGACTGCGCCAACGCTAATTTAGATTAATTTTTATCGAGTTGCATACGTACTATATCATCGGTAAAATTAGGCAAGCCTAAATGTGAATTTCAACGGTGTTTTGGAGTGTCATACTCCTCCTATACTTATCTACACTCCTTGGTAGCAGTAGTAGCAGCAATAGCAGTGCAGTGCAGTCAGTAGTACACCGGCGCAGGCAGCGGCAGCAGGGCAGCAGCAGCAGGCAGCAAGCAGCAGTAAGAAACAATAGGCAGTAGCAGAAACGGCGGAGTCCCGTTCACCAATCACTCGTCTCAATCAATCCAATCAATCAATCGTCTCACCAATCAACAAAATCAACTCGTCTCCACCCAATCAATCGTGTCCTTCACGCAAGAGAAAGAAATGAAAGAAAGAAAGAAGAAAGAAAAGAAAGAATAAATGAGAGAGCGAGAGAGAGAGAGACTAGAGTGGAAAGAGAGAGAGAGAGAGAGAGAGAGATGAGGAGAGAGACGAGAGAGAGAGGAGAGGAGAAGAGAGAGAGAGAGAGAGAGAGAGATTCGTTATTGGGCTCCTACATGGTTAGTAAAAGTCATCAAAGTAGTCCGCTCGCGCTCTGCCGCAACGTTCGCGCACGTGTATATGTGTGTATCCGTAAGCCCGCAGCTTTAAAAAAGAGCTTCGCCGGAAATATACGCGAACATTCCCAGATCTCTGGCGCTGCTCTGTCTCGCTTCTTCTGCTGCATTGATTTTCGAGAAATCGCCCCATCTTTGTTTATATGTATTGATTATAAAGTGAACGCGGGAGCGCCTGCGTGTTATGTGAGATAGCGCGCATCCTGGTTGCCGCTGCGGTCGTATATATTCAACAAATCACGGCTAAAGTTTCGCATTCCGCGACGCAGTGTAACCGCATGTTTGAAAAATGGTACGTGCCCCCCACGCCAAGTCAGTATTTTGTTTCAGCGCACGACTTCGTATTAAGACGCTGCTGACTACAATTCCTCTTCCGACAGAGGAGATGACTGTGTAACGATGTTAAACCTGATTACTAGCGGACATCTGGGACCTATTTGTAACAGTAAACTTGTACTATACAAACGCAGTAACAACGTAAAATATATATAAAATATATGTAAATATAAATAATAATATATATATATAATTGTATAAAATAATGTAAACACTCGACATGATTTCTTCCAATTAGGGATTCTACTCGGCTGTCACGTGATGCATTTCAGCCAGTCAGGTGACGTCATAATCCTCATCCCAGTCGTGCGAGGTAGATAGATGTGATGGATAAATAAATAAATTAAAAATTGAACAAAAGGATAAATAAATAAAAATCAGTCAGATCACGTCGTGCAGTAGACATTGATTTGAAGCATGCATGTGTCTACGGGACTGCTCCGATTCACTGCTCAGACCCCCGTGTGGGTTTTGTGCTTTCGACTCGCACAATCGTCTAATTCTTTCCATCCTTTCTTACCCGTTTAGTGGTTAATATAAATATTTTAGAAATCTAGCGCGGCGGTGTTCGCACTTGAAAAGCACGTGATTTCTCCGTGTTTTCCTGAAATCGATCGATACAAACATTGGCACTGACACGCGCCGGCGGTTAGCCAACGAACAGTACGTTTTCTTTAATGAAAGCCTTGTACCTATAACGGCCCATATATATATATATAAATATATATATATAATTCCGTTATATATATATATAATCTGTTTTGATGTATTGGCTCTCCATT